GGCCTCTATTGGTCTGGACATATGCAGGGGTGTTTCTCTCAGCCTCGCCCTGACCTTCCCTGTGTCTTCATGGCCGAAGGATGACGGTAGGGGGAGGAGAAAGAGGCTTTATGGAGCATTGGCCAACAGTCACCTGCCCTACAGCTTCGATCAGAGCCAGGAGATCTTCTTCTCATCTCTGCTCTGGCCCCAGGACTGCTTCTGGGCCATGATCAATTTCCACCTTAAAACAGAGACCTGTTTGTAGACTTGTAAAAATTAACTGCTCCCACCAGTCTTTCCCATACTGTCTGAGGTCTTGTCAAGCAAAACTGTGAAAGGCTGAAATGGGCCAAGATTCTTGGGCCCTTTCAATGGAACATCAGGGGTTGTCTAGACCAGAGGACCCTTCCCGAGTTGTCTGATTCTACAGGGATCTGTGGCCTTTTATTGTCATTGATGATGTTGTATCTCTGTAGAGACAGAAGTTAACCTCTGGAGAGCTGATACTGAGACAAAAGATTCCTGCTCATAGGAACACAGATGAAAATGCCAGTTCTGCATCTACTAGTAAATTCCCTCCCACTTTCTCAATTGCCTATATATGTGTCTGTGTTTTGAATTCTCCTGCAAACCGGGGTGACATTAAGATGTTGTTCCCTTGTTCCCTCATAAATGAGTTAAATGAAGTCAAAGACATGCGTTCATTTTATGTTTGCATGAAAATCATAATTTTACCTTTAAAAAACTTGTCCTTTAACAGTTTTAAATATCTGTCTTATGCCTAAGCTGAAGAAAGAGAGAGACGGAGGGGAGGAATGGAGAGCAGGGAAGTGAGCAGGGTGAAAAAGTGGGAAAAGAGAAAAAGAAAAGAAAGGAAAAGCCAAGAGGGAAGGATCGAAGGCAGAGATGGGCGGGAGAAGTCGGGGAGGAGAGGGAACAGCAATGTAACCACAAAGTGAAAGAAAAGAATCTTCTTGTCTCACAAACATACGAATGCTCTCCCTCTGCTTGAAGGAAAAGTCTTTATTTTGAGTCAGCTGTGAGAGGCCCTCTCAGTCCCTCAGTCCGAGAGGGAAATTATTTTTTGCCTTTGTCATCTCCCAGGTCACCAGTTATATTAAGCCAAGATCCCTTGGTGGCTGCTGTCTATAATTTTTCCACTCCCCACCCTTTGAGTCAGATTGCAAAATAAGGACATTTTGAAAGTTGGACTCTTCGAGATCAGGCTGCAGAGATGTGGCCCAGGACTCTCAGGCCCCATGGAGTTGGGCAGGGTCCTTATTGAGGGTCCTGCTGAGATGAGCAACAGGAAAACAAGCAGAGCCACTAGCTTGCTTCCACGGGTGTTCAGACCCTACCTTGATCTCTTGGGAAGACCACACAATGTTCCCAGATCTTCCCCAGGCAGCAGGACATGGCTACTCCCATGGTGACATGTCTGGGGTTAGAAGAAGGCTCTTTGCCCTGAAATGTCTCCATTGGCCTGACACACAGCTGAAATTTAGAGAGTCAATCATCTTCAGTCTAAGAAGCCCCTTCATAATGTCCTCAATCCATCTTTTCAAACTTGTTTCCTGTTACACATGCCACACATCTTGCATTCTGGTCAGGCCAGCCTAACTTGCCAAATATGTCCAGGCCTCTGTGCCTTTGCTCTTGCTGTTCTCTCTGCTTAAAATGCCTTTTCCCTTTTTCTTCTCCCTGGTGACATGATGCTCATGCTTTTCTCTTATTTCCAGGTAGAGTGAATTATTTCCTCCCTTGAGCCTTCATGTGAACTTTATATACATCTGTACTTAGACACAACGCTTATCAATCTGGTTTGTAATTATTCACCTGTCTGCCAGTCTGTTCTTCAAGGACAAGAGCCCAGGTTTATTCATGGCCTGAACTGGTACTTGGCTTAGTGCCTGGCACTTTCATTCAGTCATTTAACAAATTTATTGAGCACTGACTATGTGCCAGGCTGTTTTCTAGGTGCTGGACAGTAAACAAAACTGATAAAGTTTTCGGTGCTCTTGGAGTTTACATTCTTGTTGAGGAGGCAGACAACATACAAATAAATAAATATATGTCAGGTAGTGATAAGTGCCAGAAGAAAATCAAGGGGACTAAAGCCACAGAGAACGATGGATGGTGCTATTTGAGACAGGATGGTCAGGGAAAGCCTCTTCTGATAAGGCGGCATTTAAGTAGAGACCCACAGGAGGTGAGGGAGTGGGTCATGTGGGTATCTGGGGAAATAGCATTCCAGGCAGCAGGAGCAAGTGCAAAAGTCCAGAGATGGGAGTATGTCTGGTGCATTCAAAGGACTGCAGCTGGGGCCGATGTGACCGGACTGGTGAGTGATGAGAAGAGCTGTAGGAGAGGTGCTCCAAGTAATAAGCAGCTGGTGCTGCGGAACTTAGAACTTTTAGGCCAAGGTAGAAGCTTCAGCTTTTACTCCAAGTGAGATGGGAGCCATTGCAGGGATTGAGGAGAGGAGAGACCATCTAACTTGAATTCTAGAGTATTCATGATCTTACATGACCTCCTGGCTACGCTTTGCAAAACAGACTGTGCATGGTAGGCGCTCACGAAGGGCATCAGTAATGTGGGGCCAGATGCAAGTGGCCTTGGAGGACAATGTGAGCTGGTCCTTGATTGAACACAAAATGGGGGCGTTTGCTCTCTTTAATCTAGGTTCTCCTCTTTCTTCTCCCTTAGAGAAGGAACCCAGCTGATGAGGATTTTCTGCCCTGGGCACTGAATGAGCCTGGAAAGATCAGACAAAACTCATGGGAAATAAACATAGACCCTGGCCTGCTACACTGAGAGAGATACTACTGACCTTGCCTGTAACAGTTCACCCAAAAAGTCAAGGCAGACATCCTGGAGAAAGGAGGCTCAGCTGTCCAGTGATTAATAAAAGGCAAAGCATGGCAGGGAAAACTAGCCTTTCACAACTCCCGCCCTGGCTGTATGACTGTTGGCTCTGAGTCACCTTCGGGTTGGGCCTGGCAAATGAGCACTACGAAAAGCCTGTCTGAGAGAGGGAATGAAAGACTGCCTACTCCTTTCAGGTCCCTTCCCAGGCACGTTTCAGTCAGTCATTTAACAAATTTATTGAGCACTGACTATTTTAACAGCATCCTCGCTGTTAAAATATCCAATAAAAGTTTAAGACGGCACCTCCCCACCCCTCCACGCTACCCTTCCAAAGAATATCTGGAACAGTGGAATTTCAGGCACCAGGGGAGCCCGCCCCTAACGTGCCCTAGGGGAGGGGACTTCCGGGAGCGCCTCTATTCTCATTACAAAAAAAGCTTCTATTCCCACCCCCGTCCCCCAGGGAGGCACGCGGAGACCACCGGCAAGTAGAGGCGCCCGAGCGGGCGGCGGGGTTCCGGGGGTGAGCGGGCCGCCGGGGTCC